CTGGAGCAGTTTGACCTGTCCGAAGTGATACTTAGCAGAGATCTTTTAGGAATGAGTGAACTCTTGCCATCCCAACCTTCATTACCATTACAAAAACCACACCCCGCATAGCTAATCACCTATTTACCATGAACATGTAATGTATGTAGTATGTAGTATGTAGGGGTCTGTAGAAGGGGGGTAATAGGAAGTAGGCAGTCGTGTAGAGTGTAACTTGGAGTACTTCAGCCAATGAGGAAACAAGAAGGGAGTTACGGCCGGGGGTAGAGATGTTTAAAAATTGCTGAGATCTGTGTTTCGGTGTGGACTCCATCTTGCAGCTTTTGAGTTTCACCAGCCTTTGCAAACGCTTCCAATAAAACTTTACTTCTGATTAGCCCAGAGAGATTTGTGGTGCTTGTTTCACACAGAGGCACAGGCTTATAAATGGAGCACCCCAAGAGGAGTATTGCAAGTCTTCACCCATCTTTCAGTCAACTCTGAAATCTGTTCTGGCTACCTCCAGTTGGGACTCAAAACCAGAAGGGAATTTTTTGTGGCTTGAAGAACCCTTGGGGTTCTCCCTCCAGGGAGCAGCAACCCCTGCTGCTCTGCCTTGCTGCGTTTCTGCTCCAAGATGAACATCTCTAGATCTTCCTCTAAAGAAGAGACCACCAAGAGGAACACCACATCATTATTATTGGAAGGACACTGACCCTAGGACCGTGTTTCTCCTGGGCTTGGCCCAACTTCAAAGTCCTTGGTGAAAATGCAAAATTGCAAATACAAGAGGCCACTGGGTTGGGATCTAATAGCAAGACACGGCAAAGAGAAAGAAAGGAAGGTAGGCCGTAGGCCGTAAAGAAGGCACACCATGCAATAGCCCACAAACAGAAACCATTTGTATGGAAGTCTGTGTATGTGATACAGATACACAACAGATGAGCAAAGAATCTTTGACGCTGCACCATAATAAGGTAAAGTCTCCTTCAAGTTCAGGTTGGTTCCAGGTGACTTGATGGACACATCCATGTTGTTTCCATGGCAGCAATACTGGCTTCTTTGGGATTTTTGTTTTTTATTCATTTCCAGGTTGAAAAGGTTCGCTCTGGCTTAGCTGTTCCAAAATCATCTGGGGTTGGCTGGGTGCTGTTACCCAATGAATTTTGTTCATCTGGGCCACTACAGTTTGCCCAAGACCCAGCTTTCTGCCAAAGATTATAACTGGAGAAGCCAAGGATAATCTGGGACCTTCAAAAGTGTCATCACCAAACTATGGTGATCCATTGAGGGGCTTTTCCAAGGGGCACCCGAGAGACTGAAAGAGGGATCTGGTGGCTGAGTTCATACAACACTTTAACTCTTATTTCTGGTTAAGAAAATTCAGTTCTTGTATTTACACACCTTGCAATGCCCAAACAAAGCTTACAATGGTGTAACATAATGACTTGCTTCACACAACATGCCAACCTGAGGCTAGTTTCCAAGAACACAATAAACCACAAACTACCCAAACCTACTTTATCCTGGTCTACTGTTGTGCAAACCCAGTTTTAGGAGGCAAACAGATATTTTGCTACTGAATTGTGCCCCTTTTCAAACCATACCCATCCCATAGCTGTCAGCCATACAATCTTTAAGCTTGTAGAAAAACAGTTTTTACTCCCAAGTCAAGTAGGATGTTTAAACAAAGATCCCAGGCCTCATGATTACAGAGAAGGATGATACAACTAGGAATCTGAAAATATGGAGTAGTCTAAAAATGTTTCTACAGGAACCTTGAATGGAAATTTGTGGACCCCTCAACTAACAGGGGTTTTTCTTTCCCTTCTAATTTGTGTAATGTGGTCTAATATAAAATTCCTCAGGCACAAATGGCCAAACTTAAATTATCCAACTTTAACACATTATGTGAAGACCCAGCTCTCTGGAGAAGGCTGGGAAAGTGGAAGGAAAGAGAACAAGAGGATGACCAGCAACAAAGTAGATGGACTCATTTACAGTGGTGATGGGTGCTTCATTGGAAGATCTCAAGGACCAGGTTGGGGGACAGATCATTCTAGAAAAGGTCACTAAGAGTGGAAACTGACTTGATAGATCATAATCAATGCAAAGACCCAGGTTTATTGAAAAATCCATAATGCTGAGAAAGGTTGTGTAAACTTCTGAAGCTTACACAATGGTTTAATGGTTTTTCGCCAAAGAAAACCCAAAGAATCATATGGTCCATTTTCTGCAACTGCACTACTGAAATTTGATGAAGGAATTTGGCAACTGCAAAATGGCTCAGAGGTATATATTGTCCCTCCCTGATTTAAATAAGCTGTAGTGAAGGGCCAGGACTGAGGACATCAGGTTCAAATCCACCCTCAGCCATCAAAGTTCACTGGAGACTATTCTGTCACAGGGTTGTTATGAGGAAAATAGGCAGAGGGACTGATACAGAAATCTATATAAATAGAGATGTAGGCATGGAGGCTGATTACCCTGGAGAATGGGATAATGGTGAAAGTACAGGGCTGGCATGGAGGAGACTCAGATTCATGTTCACTCTCAACCATAGAAGTGCCCTAGATGACTTTGGGCCAGTTCTTCTCTTTTAGACCTGCCTACCTCACAGGGTTGTCTCTATGCCACCTTAAGCTCTTGAGGGGTGGATACAAACCTAACAATAAACAAACAAATAAATAAATACATGATCTCCAAGTCAATATGTGGATCTTCTTCAAAACTGGTGGTACCCCATATTGTGAGATGTTGCATTTCTCTCATGGTATCAATATTCTGGAACAGTCTCCCCCAAGAAGCAAGGCTAGTCCATTCAGTGTTGTCCTTCCAGAAGAGGGTGAAGACCAAATTCTTCTGGAGAGCTTTTGGGGCATGACTGTCCACCATCCAGAACTGGATTTTATGAGCTAGTTATTTTACCTGGTATTATGTCCCATTCTGTTCTGATTTGTGAAACTGCATTGCACACGTCTTACTGTGTTTGTATGTTGTTGTAAGCCACCAGGAGTCTCAAAGATTCAGTAGCGTACAAGTTTAATAAAATATATCAATATGTAAATGTCCCCAAGCTCACAGAACTGCTTCCCTATTAACAAGGTTCCAGGGTGTTAATTTTCCACCTATTTTCTTGCTGTTGTTCAGTGTTTTGACTGCTGATGGCGAAGCATTAACCCTGACATTAAGAGGAAATAAGTCTCAGAGCTTGCAACACACCCTACTGGAAATCATCCACCAAAATCGCAAGGAAAGGAAAGGCAAAACCCAAGGACGCTTATAAAATATTTAATTACAATTTGAGTTAAAACTACAACCCGCCCCCCCCCCAGCAGAAAAATAGAGCCTTCAACAGAAATATCTTAAATGATAAATTCTTATAATTTTATGCAGTGGTAGTTACTAATTCGGCATTCAAGAAAGTCCCAAAGATACCCCTTTTTAAGTGGGTCTTTGATCTGAGTTTATGGTTACCACCTAGTTGTTTTTCACTTCTGTTATTCTGATGGTTCAAGGGATTGAATGTTCACTTATAACTGCTTATATGATTTTTTTTATTAAATACCCAGAGTCAATTAACTGCAGTAGAATAAAAATTGAGGAAACAGGTAAACAGTTTTGGATAAAGCATTAAACTGATTGGCATGGACTTTTTCTAGAGTCTCTGAAGGAGGTAGCTATTTTTATTCAAAAATCACTGGCCTTACAATGAAATTTTAAATATTTTATGTGTCTACTAAGGCCTCATCTTTTGGGGGGGGGGCGGTGTTCGTTAAGGAATCAAATTACTTGTGGCATAAATGACCAGCCTCAAATTATCATACTTTAGACACATTATATGAAAATCTAGTTCTCCAGAGCAAGTGCTGATGCTGGGAAAGGTGGAAGGAAAGAGAAGAAGAGGATGACCAGCAGCAGTGGCGATGGGTGCACCATTGGGAGATTTGAAGGACCAGGTTGGGGACAGATTGTCACGGAGAAAATCTATGTGGTTTCTAAGAGTCGACATCAACTTGATGGTACAATTCAATCAATCAATGAATCAACACAAAGATTCATCTTACTTGAGAAGTCTATGATGTTGGGAAAGGTGGAAGGAAAGAGAAGAGGATGACCAGCAGCAAGGTGGATGGACTCAGTTACAGTGGCGATGGGGACACCAGGTGGAAGGAAAGAGAAGAGGATGACCAGCAGCAAGGTGGATGGACTCAGTTACAGTGGCGATGGGGACACCCTTGTAAGACGTGAAGGACCAGGTTGTGAACAGATCCTCCTGGAGAAAGTCTATCTGTGTGGTTGCTAAGAATCAATTCTGACTTGATGGCATCTAATCAATCAAATAAGGAACCAACCCTCAAAGCCATTCTGAAACAGAGCTACAGAGGAATCGATGGGGGCCTTCCATCCACAATTGTGGCCACCAGCATAGAAGCAGCAATGGCTGATTCTGACACTTGAATAAAGCATTGGGAAGCTCCCGTCAGAGGCATCTGCAGGTAGGGGTGCAGTCAAAAAAGTCAGCTTGGTAGTTTCCATCATGACTTCTTAAAATATCCCCTCCTGCAGATACTTCTGGCTCTTTGACATGGATCATGAATGGATGGCGAATCTCTTAGTCAGTCTTCTTCCATGACCTTCCCAACAAGCAACAGTGATGATATCAAGTACTCCCTAAGGCCGCTGTCAGCCAGACTAGAGGAAAAGGAAGATTTTATATATTCGGGGCCAGCGGTCTTAATTTTCCCTTTTCCAAATGGTGCTCTTTCAATCAACACTGCTTCCCCCCTCACCCGAACTCTGTCATTTCTTGCGAGTTAAAAAGGAGGAACCTTCCTTTCCTCATGCCTTTGGAAAGACAAGCTGTGGAAATCAACCATGTATGGCATGATTGATATTTGCAGTTGCTGCTCATTTTGCTTCCTTGATGGATTAAAGAAAACGCTGGAACTCAATCTTTACTTTTCCCTATGGATACATCAGAGCGTTAACTATGGTGTGTTGAACTTTTCTCGGTATACTTACAAGTAGATGCTGGATTCGTTGCCCCCGATATCTGGTGACTGGAGCTTCTGAACCAAGATGATGATGATGCCCACGAAAAGCAAAAAGTTGATCTGAGAAGAGGGGAAAAGAAATGGATCGGCCAGTGACAAGAAAAGATGATGCACACAATGGTGCCTTCCAATTAAAAAGAGCAAGTCATTCTCAATCCAGCAAACTCAACTTTCCTGCAATCCGTGCTTTGAGATCTGATAAAATAATACCAGGTCAGAATACCCACAGCATTATTTATGGTGCAAAATAATCATTATTTTTTAAGGTGTTCTATAGAATTTCATCACGGGGAGAGACAAGGAGGTAGGGGTTGACATCTTGACCAAGGGCATCTGGGCGGGTCAGAAAAGGTCAAGATTGAATCTGCAAGACTCAAAGCCTCGTGCCTTTTTACATGTGTCTTATGTAGCATGTGTCACATGTAAATGAGGGGAGATACTTCGGTCATGCAGTCATGACCACCAACACTGATCTTAGGCCCAAAATTTGAAAATCTGACAGAGTCATCTTTCTGGCTTCTTTCCTTTCCTCTCTTTTTCAAATCTTCAATTCATTCCATTCATTTCTTCATCTGATACATTTTCCTGAAGTACCTAAGCAGTTTTCATACAAATATAATGTATTTGGTTTCATCGTTCTTACAAATCAATGCATGCGGGTGACTTTTCCACCATATATTATAATGATGTGAGAAGCAGTGTATAAATTGATGAAATAAAAATAATAGTGTATTTATTTTATAAGCCCTTTACAAAAAAAATGGAGTGCAGAATTAAAACACTCAGAAAGTGCAAACACAGGATCACAGCCTCTCCATTCACACATGGATGTGGGCAATGAGATATTTTTGCACTGAATTGTGTACTGAATGGGTTTTTAACCATTCCTAATGGGGGAAAAAAAAATCTCTGCTCCCAAATTCACAGTTATGGTAAGATAGATCAGTGCCTGTGGGATGTTCTCTGGAGCTTAGGCGCCTTTGCGATATATATATTTGTCCCATTTCATTCTAGCACTGAAGATGTTACCTAGCTGGGTAATGAAACATTTGCAAGAAAACAACCAAGCTCAGAGAACCCCATGGACTCCATAACCATGGTCTAATTCTTCCAACTGTTCTTGCTTTCATCTTAGGTTAAAAAGGCTTGTCTTTCATCCCGTGCATGGATGTGGCCAGTCATGTTTCCAGATACATCAAATTTATGAGGTGCATTTCCTCCATTCCTCCATATTGGAGTCAGTTCTGGTATCAGTTGAATGCAGGTTTAGAAACCATGTACAAGATTACAGTGGTTCTCCCCACTGCTTTGCAAACCTTGTGATCCAAAGTGACAGACACAGCATGGACTTTAAGCTTACTTAGATGTGGATTCATGTTTAGCTATGGTTGATGGTTGGACCATCCTTTCTTCAAAACTTACCATTATTGATGCAACTACAGGACCTTTGATCACCCACCACAAGGCTGTGTTGTCATTCATGTCCCAACACCTGATGGGAAAAGAAGAAAGGAAGTCAAGAGGATAAAAGAGAAATATTAAAATTGCCCACCCAAAACAAATTCTTCTTAAAGGAAGACTAACCTGAATATTGTTTGATTTTAATTAAAACTCAGCTGAAAACACAGACTCTTCTCCTATGCACGTGTTTTATGCATCTGGTTCCCTGCTTCCTTAATTAGTTAGATAATCCTAGGGTTTTTAGCTCCAGTGTCCAGATTACACATTATGTACACACACACACACACAAATGTTCATACCACAGTGAACAGATCAATGAAAATAGCATAATCGTTTGATTAACCAAAATTGATGGAAGTCATTCAATCTTGATGTCCCAAAGCATGAATGACAGTGGGCAAGACTTTGGCAGCGGTTGCACGCAATGAAGGCCAAGGAAGGGTGCGCAATGCTACCTACCCAATATCATCAAAGTGAAGCCTAAGGACCGCCCAGACAGTGACACAAATAGTGGGAGTTCCTGAAGAAGAGAAGAAGAAGGTGGCATTTGATGGTGGCTGTGACAACTAGATGTGTCTCACTAGATGTTACCTAGTCAGCTAATGAAATGTCTGCAAGCAAACAACCAAGCTCTGAGAGCACCAAGGACTCCACAGATTTCTTTCTTTTTAGAATTGTCATCTAGCAATTTAGGGGTTTACTTTATACCTTTCATGCTTCCCACTTGAAAATGATAGGACAATGGGTCTTCAGTTTCCAGCTGTCATAAAGGAGGCTCCAAGGGTGGAAGGTCCCATTGTAGTGTGGGAGTCACAGGATGTCCACCCTTCTTCTAGATCACAGCACACATCAAGCTGAATCTGCATCCTAGATCAGGGTTTCTCAACCTCAGCAACTTTAAGATGTGTGGAGTTCAACTCCCAGAATTGATCTCCTATGTGATCCATACCATTTATGGGTCATGCAACTGTGTACGTTCTGAGATACTTTTATATGCATGCACTGTGCATAAAGAAGGACCATCCATAAAGGAAAGGAAGAGGGAAGAGAAGCACTTACCCCAGCCGATGATGGTGTACCAGTAGAAATACCTCCTCTCTGGAAAGAAGGTTTCCACAAGTAAGGTGAAAAGGTACAGCCCCTCAATGAAAAGCCAGAAATAGTTGGACATCACACAGTAGTGGAAAAAAACCATCACCGCCTTGCATTCCACCTGCGGAGGACAATCACCATTTCAGCCCCTTTTAGCAGAGCAGCTTTTCCCTCCATCTCTACAAGACTACCCCTTCTATCATTCCTGGTCAGAAGCCACGCAAACTAGAGGTGATGGAACTATCATTCCAGCAATCAAGAAGATGTCAGATTGGGAAGGTGGCTCTGTTATGACATTTTCTTGAAGTTCTTTGAAATATTCATCACCACCTTTCTTTCCACCTGCAGAAGACAGCCAAAGATTTCAGCCCCCTGTACTAGACCAGATTGTGGTCTTCTACACTGAACTACATCTTCCATGGTTCCCAGATAGAAGCCATGCTACCTGGGGATGAGGAAGCTGTAGCCCTACCCATCTGGATGGTGCCAGCTGGAGAAGGCAACTCTACTGTGATATATAATTGATATTCTTAAACAACAATAAAATAATAGATTACTCGGAATCAACAAAATGCAGCAGCTATTCTGCAAAGGGTGAGATGTGTCTCAAAATATCACCTTTCTACTTCCATACACTGTCTGCTAATAAGCTTCTGGGTGCAATTTAAAGAAATGGTTTTAACCTACAAAGTGCTCTATAGCTTGTTGTTGAAGCATCTTCCAGAACAAGCCAGAATCAACCCATCCATAATGGTTTTGGTTTCCTGTCTGGACTATCTCGAAGGGCTGACACAAGATGAGCTGATCACCTTTGTGTCTTCGCAGTATACAGAATGCCACACTTGATAGGGAAATATGAAACAATGAGAATAAGCCGCATCTTGTTTCTCCTCCAAAGAAAACCTGCAATGGACGAGTTCACACAATGTGCTAGGCTAGACTTAGGCAGGATTGGGTCCTCTATGATTTAGTGCATTAGGAAATCGTCGTTCTTGGTAGCTGTGGGACCGTCTGCTCTGAACAGAAGCTGCTCTACTGGATGTTTCACCCGCCAGGCAATGTCCTGGGGGTCTGCAGGGGCATCAAAAAAGTCAAGATGGTGGCTGCGCCCATGTGACTGAAAACCTGGCCTTTTTTAATGTGCACAACACACCAAACAGGGATGAATTCTGGTTCCCACAGTCATGGCTGCTACCTTGACCTCCCCCTGCAAACACCCCAAATGAAGAATGCAGGGATGAATTACTTCAGAGAGACACTGTTCACACCCTTGGCATTCTGCAAACAGCTCTTAAAAGGAAATTGCAAGTACAGAGGGCCAGATCTAGATAAGATCCATAGGGTGGTGGACTAGGGTATAATCATTTGCCTTTCCCTGTGATTCTAACCCAGATGTGGGGACAGCTGGGTCCCCATTTTGCACCGAAGGAAAAACAGTGTATTCATTCCCGCTATTGGCTTGGCGAAAATCTTTCCAGTGATCCAAATGGTATCCTCTCCACTTCTCACCATTGAAACCCATTTTTTTTTCTCTCAGCTAACGCGGCCACCATATTTCTCTAAACAGAGCGGACTTGGACTCTCAGCCTGATTTACCGTTGAGATAAAACAGTGGTTGCTGTCTTGTTCGGCATACAAAACCCCGTCTTTAATGAAGACCGATATGGCTCGCAGAATGAACGAAACGAAAAGGTTCATGTGAATAAAGTTCCGGGTGCAGTGCAGTTTCCTGAAACAGAGCAAAAAGAAACCGTTTTTAAGAAATGGTGAAGAAAGATCTCGTCCCATTTGCAAATCATTCTCCATATTGTTTTCCTAGGTCTAAGTCCTTCTGGATAACGGTTTTCAACATGCACGTCCTTGACCACTTATTTATTAATTTGTAGATCTAGAAGGCTGCTTGACTCCAAAATGACTGGGCTGTGTTGATGGGACTCGTAGTCCAAACATACCAGAGGGACAGTCCTTGATTGCATTGTCAGTCCAAGAAATGCCAGGACAGAAGATATTACTGTTCAAAGGACCTGGCCTGAGATGTTTTTAAAAAATTGAAAAAGACAGAAAAGACTTCACTCACCTCATAAAGTCTAGGAAATATTGATATTATAGACTATTCTTGAAATTATAGACTATTCTTCATTATCTTCAATATTTGTTCAGTAAAGATTCTTTATTCAGTTCTTCAATAAAGAATCTTCAAGAAAGAATTGTCAATAAAGATTGAACAATCTTTATCTTCAACAAAGATATTGTTCAATATCTTGAATACTGAAATTATAGACTATTCTTTCCCTTCAAATTCTTAAATATCTTCAACAAAGATTTTATCATCAATACTGAAATTGAAATTATAGACTATTCTTTCCCTCCAAAGCAGTTGCCTACATGCCAGCTTTGGAAAAGAATGGCTAAATTCCCTGTCTTCCCTTACAGCCTTGCATGACATAGCTGACCAGAGAACTTAACATGGTCAGAACAAATCTGCCTTATGTCATAAACTAAACCTTTCTTAACCCATTACTAATTAGACTTAGCTGCTTGACTTCTTGATCATCAGTTCCACTCATGATTAAGTGAATTTGCAAACACACCCATTGGGTATTCAGGGGCTTCCTGCATCTCATAATGATATAGCAACTTCCACAACATGGACATTCTTCCAATTTGCAGAGTTCCACTTCCAGAATTCCCAAGCCAGTATTATATTCTGACAATTGTGAGAGTTGAAGTACATGCAACTAGGGTCCACCCAGGTTGGGGAAGAGTATCATTGTAGAGACTGGTCCTGGTCACTGAACCCAAACAACTCCCAGTCAGTTGACTTGTGTGCAGTATTGATGACTCAGATGACTCAGTCTCAAACAGCTTGACTGGTCATCTGGCAGCCATTTTTTTAGTCCTCCCAGTTGCCACAGAGGAAACTGGCGGATTGTCACTTCTTGTCATTTTAATTTTCTTTTCCCTTGAAGAAGGGGAAAAGTTTCATAATTTGAGCAAGCACA